AGCACCTCGGGGCCGCCTCCGCCGCCTCCTCAGCGATGCTTTTCCACAGTCTGTCCGGCTCCGAGATGCACGGGGTCATCGACGAGATGGACCGGAGAGCCAAAAGCGAGGCGCCCGCCATCAGCTCGGCCATAGACAGGGGAGAGACCGAAACGGTAGGAGGCGAAGGAGTGGGAGAGCCATTCAAGCCCCCAAACTTAACGAACCCCTCAAAGATTTTCCTTAACATAACAGGTCGGGGGGAAGCCTATGCAAAATACTAGATCAGAAGAAAAAAAAAAAACAAGCATCAGGGTACCCCAAAAGATTAAATTGAGACGTGCGGCAAGGCATGAAACTGTTAATTATTAATAATATGCATACTAATAGTAACGCTTGGATGAAATGAACGGTGCTGCTCTTGCGAGAAAGCAGAAATAGAGACCAGCCTTTTGGTAGCGTCCAAGAACTCCTTCCCTTCCTTCCCTTCCCCCAGCCCGTCCGGCCTCCTAAAGTTTTTAGGAAGAGGCAAAGTGCGCTTTTATGCAGATAACATTTTGGCTCAGCGAGATTTTTGTCTGCAGGATGGAAAGACAAGCAGCACAGAACCCCTTTCTCCGTTATTTTTCAGGTGGGATGGCTACATGGAGGGAGCCATTAGAGCATTAAAACATCGCTAGTATTTTTAACTGATGATTGTATATAATGGTAATATGTATGAATATTGACTTTGCAAACGAGAAGCAGAACTGGAAGATGCGCCTCGGGGTGCGAACAGATGCGTATTTTTCTAACTTTCATCACTTTTGGTGCCGTGCTGCTGGTGCGGGGTAGCTGGACACCAGCACGTACGATCCAAGGCGCATCCTCCGGCCGGAGCTACCCGGCGGGGGGAAGGTTTCTGCGGGGCCTTGGCGGATTCCGCGTTTTGTGTGTGTTACTTTCTGTTCAGGGAAAACGGTAATTTCGAAGTGCAAAGATTCCGTATTTTGGTTAAATGCTCTCTTGTAACCTGATATGGGCAAGGGTAAGAAACCTCTCTGCTCACGATTTTTAAAACTTCATCACTATGTGTTATTTCTCTTCAGATTATGTCGAAATTTACTTAAAAGTAACAGAAAGATTATACAATCCTGAAATATCGGCTAAAAGAGCCTTTATGTAACAAAGAACATGATCCCGGACGGTTTTACTTTCCTTTGGAAAAGTTAGTATTTGTCCGTGCAATTAAACAATATCAAATTATCTTTACTAGAACAAGTATTGTGGTGAGATACCTTACATATCTATATACAATGTGAATGCATATGCACGTGTATAAAATAAGGAGTGGGATAAAAGATTGGATCCTTAAATACCGTTTGTGGAACTCAGAATATTATCGTCAGCGGGAAAAAAAAAAAAAGCGGAGCAGAAAAACTGTATTTTAATTAAAGTGGATTTAGAAAAAACTACTTTGGTTACAAAGCGATCGCTAATCAGAGGTTATTAACGCGTTAAAGAAACGAGCTATTAGTGGAGCTCTGTGGACAACATGCTAATAGAGAACTACGATTTTATTTCCTTGCAGTTCTAATAGGAGAAGCATTAGTGCTAACAGCGACGGGATTTTGTGCTCTGTGCGAGTGTTGCACGAAAGCGATCGGTGCGGGAAAATCGCTTCGTTTTCTTTTGCTCTCCCCGTGCTGCGCGCGAGGGGCTCGGGCTGCGGGGCCGGAGGGCCGACCCGCCGCCTCCTCAGAGCTCCGCGCCGGGCGGCGCAGCCCGGGCTCCCCGCGCTCCCTTCTTGCCGATTAAA